ACAATTAATTTACCGGATGTTCTAACTTTGGTGTGGGTATAACATGAATACCTCATAAGGTTCCTCTAAATTTCTAAGGAACATATGCCTCAGTCTAGTTAGGAAATAGCCTTCTGTTAGACCATATCTTTTATGAATTATAATAATTTGTTGATACTTCAGGAAAATCCTGGTATACAAGTGTTGTAAAGATATAAAACATCTATAATATCACTCTCTGAAAATGAACAGCCAGTCAGCTATATTGTTATATTGCACCAAAAGTTTAACCCCCCCCCCCACGAAATCATTTCCTAGTCTTAAAGTACCCACATAGGAACCACATTTTATGCTCTGCGCCTTCTTTTCCTTCTTCTGAAGTCCACCTAAACACCATATCCCAAACTATAGCTAGCATTGTTCAGTGTTCCCCAAACAGATACAACACCGTCCACCACAATCATGTTGCAGCCTGGCAATGCATATATGCGATCTTCCTTCTCTTCAAATCTTCAACTGTAAGGATGGCCCTTTGCTGTGAACTTGGTGAAAAGAACAAGCATTTCTTGGAGGTTCCCATACTGATAGATGATAGAAATCTCTGGTCTCTCTTCTTAATAAACTGTGATAGGAGGACGTCAACAAAATACTCCACGGAGCCCCCTTTCATTCCATAATCTTGATACGATAATGTAATCTGTTTCTATTTGGACCATGTTAACATGAGTGTTGCTGGTATCTCGACTAACATGGTGAGATCAACTGGTTAATTATAGTCTAAAATTTCTGATATGTCATTACTATCCTGATCAGTTTGTCTTCTCATGTATTTCTTTTCCGTTTTACAATGACCCCTTTTGGTAGATAGTTTAGATCTGCATTGGTTTAACCACCTCGTTCTAAGTGGAGATACTTCTTCTTCTATTAATATTATCTGCTCTTCGATTTAAGATACTGAATCTTTACATCTTGCCTCATGCAACATATGTGTTCTGTTTCTTGCTTACTGAGACGGTGTGCTGTTTTCAAACTCATTATCCGTCTGTTTTCAATTGAAAGGTTGAGGAAGGAGTCTTATGTGAACCTTGTGGTGGCACTGGGTGGCTGCTCTGTGATTTTTGTAAAGGTCAGAAGACCAATGTGAAATCTGAGACTAACAAAATTTATCGTCGGTGTCCATCATGTAGAGCTGTAAGTTTTTTTTTTACTATATTCCTATATTAATTTCTAGGAATTGTAATCATCTCACATTCTATTATTTTTCGATGGAAGATAATCTCAATAAGTTTTTTCTTGATGTTACCGCGCAGGTGGGATACTTATTGTGCACAAAATGCAAAGTTTTCAAATGTGTTACCTTTCCAAATGATGAAGATGGTGAAGTTCTCAGTTTTTGAACTTGTCAGATTCATCTCGACTAATTATCATACATTTAGTTTTATTGACTTGGAAGTTCATCGCAATGTGTCAATATGTAATTTTTCATGATATTTTTGTAGTCAATTACCACGAAAGAAAGTGAAATAAAACAGTTTAGAACTACAATTTTTTGAGATCTTACGCATTATTATAGTCTTACATATCATTGCATAATTATTATTTTTATAAAAGTTCCCAATTTGTGGGACAAGTTAGGATGAAAATGGAATTTAAATTGGCTAATACTCACTCTTCTATCAGTATTAGATATCATGTTGTATCTAAAAAAAATTGGATTTTAATGTATTTAGGAATTTAAATTGGCTAATATTTTTGTAATCAATTATCACTTTTTTTTTCTTTTTATTGTATTTGATTTAATTGGTTGAATTCAGTTAATTTGAATCGAGTATAATGGGTTTGTTGATTAACTTACATAAATTAAAATGTATCAATAGATGATAGCCACGTATTTAAAATTTTTTATCTATTATAATAAAAGTGGACATTATTAAACTCAAATATGAATAGTAGAGATATTTAGGAGCCAAATGCCCGCTTTCTAGAAAAATGGAGATTGAGATTTAACTTTGGTCAGTTCTAATTTCTTAATGAATTTGTAATTGGATGGAAGGGTGAAATCGCTAAGCCTAAAAATAAATTTATTTCATATCTTAAGCAGAGGCGGAGCCAATAGTATGTTAGGGGTTTATCCGCATTAATAGATGTCGAACCACTTTCAATTAATTCATAATTCACATGTTTAGTTTTTTAGATTTTAAACATTTATTACTAATCTTAACTCCATCACTGATGAGGTGATTTCAAAAGAGTGTGTATCACTTACTCTGTTATGAATATGTAGTTCCCAAATTATTTCGAGTAGGGGGGGGGGGTAGAGGGGAGGCCTCGGGGCGTGCGCCCTGAGGACTCTCGAGGTGGGGGGGGGGTAGGAGGGTCC